ACCTGGGCTTCCATACCACCTCAGCAGTGCCACAAACTGATCACCTCCATGCCACGCCGAATTGAGGCAGTAATTAAAGCAAAAGGAGCCCCTACCAAGTATTGAGTACATGTACAGTAAATGAACATACTTTCCAGAAGGCCAACAATTCACTAAAAATGTTGAAAGTATTATGAAGTATTCCAGTTTGTTGAGATAGTGAATTGGTGGGTTTTTGTTAAATGTGAGCCAAAATCATCACAATTAAAAGAACCAAAGACTTAAACTACTTCAGTCTGTGTGCACTGAATTTATTTAATACACGAGTTTCACAATTTGAGTTGAATTACTGAAATAAATTAACTTTTCCACGACATTCTAATTTATTGAGATGCACCTGTATATATATATAACCAATCTAGGCCACAAATTGACCAAGCAAATGTGTTTGATATAACTGCACATACACAGTGTTTACATTAACTGTCCAGTTATCCACACAATTAAAAATGTTAATTATTTTGTATTAATTATTATAAAAAAAAAAGACAAAAAATAAAACTATATGTGTATATATGTGTGTGTTTTAGCATATTGTTAAACATTTTAGCATCCCTTTTCAACTCTCTGTGACCATTAAAATTTCACAGAGGTTTTTTGGTGTTGTAACAGTGAACAAGACAACGGAGTTGAGATCCAAATGTAGCTTTAATGATAAGAGCGTAGTCAAAAACAGGCAGGGTCAAATGGATGGCTGACACGAAACTGACGTTTCAACACGTGTCGAGATCCCGAAGCGCAGATGTTTCGAAACACTGCTCCGAAATGTGATTTGAAACACCCATTTCACGTGACTACGTTTTACAAGTGTTTCGAGACGAGCATACCTGCCAAATCTGCGTTTGATTGACAGGGTTGGAAACAAACCACACAATCGCACATCTGTCTCAACCTAACTCTCACAAAGTATAAAAGTGGAGTTAACGCAGCAGAACAATTAATATTTTTAAATAAAAATCTTTATGTAAAAAATGTCAGACGTTGTGGCTTGATGTCTTTTATTAATGTTCATTTTTCATGACCAAAATAACATATTTATTTACAAAGAGTTCATTCAGTTGTCAGAGAGATGTTACAATAGAACAATAAAAACACAACTTTTAAATGTTTATTATAATTATATTCATGGTTCACCCAGGATTCAAACCTAAGGTGACAGGCTCTGACAACATGCCAGTCGAGCACACTAACCACTCCCCCAACGCACTTGGTGGATTGATGAACACAACATATATGTTATAATTCTTCAATTCGCTTCACTGATTCGTTGTCAATACTGTTTCAGAGCAATAATTGAA